TCCCAGTCTGGGCGACAGAGTGAGACTCCAACTCAAAAAAAAAAAAGTATCAAAATAATTGGGACCTTTGATCACAGCTTTTGTTTTCCTATAGTTTGTACTGTTTCTAAAATTGTTCTTGGTTTATCTTATGGAATTAAATATATCAGTATTTTATGGAATTCCATCAAGATTGCCATGACTACTAGGGCCTTCTGAGCAAGTATATGATTGATGGAATAGAAGTATAAGAAGGTTCCTGTCCTTAAAAGTTTTAAGGTCTAGTTGAAGAGATGACATGTACACATGGAAAAAAATGGAACTGCTTCTTAACATCGCATGAGGTATCACAAGTCAGCATGTGGATGTTGTGGGATGCCTGCTTATATCTAGATATGTTCTGTGAGCTCATTCAAGGGAAAATTCACTTTGATTGAAGCAGTGTTCACAGAGTGATCAAAATTGAATAGGTTGTCTCAAAAGCAAGAGGCTTTAAAGAGATGTAGAGTACAGTGGGGTAATGGGCTTTCTGCAGCCACCACAATTAGACCATGTGACCAAAGCCAGCTGAAGCAGTAAGTGTTGTTTGGGTCCAGAAGGGGACTTTACTTCACCCCAGAACACATAGACCTGTCAGTGTTTCTTGTGTTTCAGATTTGCCATATGGATGGGAACAAGAAACTGATGAGAATGGACAAGTGTTTTTTGTTGAGTAAGTGTCTATGTAGAAATTACTCTTGACCATTTTGCCTTTTAATAGGAATTTTTTATTATAAAAGTTATACATGTTGACAATAGAAAAATACAAAGTAGTGTATGCCTGTGAGCTTATCAGAAGGAGTAACTACTTTTAACACTTTTTGGATTTATTCTTCTGTTTTCTCGTCCATGCTTTCTTAGTAAGAAAGTAGAAAATGCACTATGTGAACTGTTTAGTAATCTGCTTTTTCCATATAATATGTTATGAGCCTTTTCTCCTATCCTTATCTATTTTTCAAAAAGAAGATATTTAATGACTCTAGATTATTATTTTGTACAGATATACTATAATTTATCAAATTGCCTGATGTTGTTCAATTCCTATGATTAGAAATCTATAATTATAAATGTTTGGAGTGTCCTTAACTCTAAAGCTTTTCTATCTCTTGATTCTGCCTCTGGGATGAATTCTACTATCAAACAGCAGTGGTAACTACCTGTCCAGCATATAGCATGAGCCAGGCCTGATTCTAATTTCTTTGTGTCTGTAGTGTTAGCTCATTGATCCCCACAGTGCCTTGAGAGATAGTACTGTTGTTATTCCTGGCTTACTACCAGTGACACAGAGCCAGTGGGTGAGTAACTTGTTAAGGATCCCACAGCAAGTAAGTGGTAGAGCTAGGCTTTGAGTCCAGCACCTACTCCAAGTGTCTGCATTCTTATTCACTGGTTAGGAGAGAAATGAATGTTTCATGGCTGTAACATTTAAATTAGAAACTTCCATATTTCGTGGGATTAAAATTGGTTAGTTAATAGAAGCTGATTTAAGCAGAAATTTTTTTAAAGTTATGAATGTAACATAAATATATATATTTTTGATTCGGAGTCTCACTCTGTTGCCCAGGCTGGAGTGCATGAGCCACCACGCCCAGCCTTGAATGCAGCATAAATATTTTCTTTTTTTTTTTTGAGTTGGAGTCTCACTCTGTCACCCAGGCTGGAGTATAGTGGCGTGCTCACAGCCACCACAGCCTTGACCTGCTGGGGTCAGGAGATCCTTCTGCTGCAACCTCCAAAGTAGCTGGGACTACAGGCACATGCTACCATATCCAGCTGTGAATATAACATAAATGTTTTCTTTTTTTGAGTCGGAGTCTCACTCTATTGCCCAGGCTGGAGTGCAGTGGCTCGCTCACAGCCATTGCAGCCCCAACCTACTTGGCTCAGGCAATCCTTCCCTCTCAGCCTTCCAAGTAGTTGGAACTACAGGCATGTGCCATCACGCCCAGCTCATTTTTCCTGATTTATTGTAGAGATGAGGTCTCACTAAGTTGCCCAGGCTGATCTCGAACCCATGGGCTCAGGCAATCCTCTCACCTCGGCCTCCCAAAATGCTGGGATTATAGGTATGAGCCACTGCGCCCAGCCAATATTTCCTTTTAACATTTGATTGAAGTACACCAAGCTTTTGAGGTTGGGCCATGCCTGATCTTTGGATGTGAATCTGCTGCTCAGATGCATTGTTTTCCCCAAGTGTACCTGTTACGTAGCATCTGCAGTTTCTACTTTGACTTTATTTAAGGTTGAGCAAACACATCACATTTTCTTTTTTTTTTCTGAGTTAGAGTCTTACTCTGTTGGCCAGGCTGGAGTGCAGCGGCATGTTCATGGCCACTGCAGCCTCGACCTGCTGGGCTCAGGTGATCCTTCTACCTCGGCCTTCTAAGTAGTTGGAACTATAGGCACTCACTACCACACCCAGCTTATTATCAAAAGATTTATTGTAGAGACGAGGTCTCACCAAGTTGCCCAGGCTGGTCTCAAACCCCTGAGCTGAGCTTAGGCAATTCTCTTGCCTCAGCCTCCCAAAGTGCTAGAATTACAGACTTGAGCCACTGCGCCCAGCCACATCACATTTTCAAAGAACATGAATGTTACGTCGTCTTGGAATTCTGTGGGTTTTTTTTTTTTTTAAGCATTTTCACTGTGTTTGATTGAACCAAAGCTTTTTTTTTTTTTTTTTTTAAAGCTACTTGTCTTTGAGGCTCTCCAAAACATCCAGCCAAATTTTCACAAATTCAGGTGACATTTTATTTTCACATTCCATTGTATCAGTTCATGTCATAATAGTTCATTAAATAATGTAGTTACTGTCACAAACTCAAAGGCGTAAGTGGTTTCTGAGCAAACCTAAGTGAATTCTTGGTCCATATCCAGTATTGGGAGCAAATGGGCCAAGGCTTGCTTGAGAGGAGTCTTTCAGCCACCAAGGACAGCTCTGGGAAGACAAGACTGTATTTGGATGGGTGGTACGTTTGTTGTTGCCTACTAGTTTGTTAACGGTTTCCCCCACTGATTTGAAAAGGTTTTTTTCCCTCAACAAATTAAGGATATCAACACATCGGTTATATGCTACAAATGCTTTTTTCAAGTTTTTCTTTTAATTTTGTTGATTTAAAAAAAATCAACTATAGACTGTCTTAAATTTTTGTGTAGTCAAATCAGTTTTATTCTGTGCAGTTGTTGTCTTCGTATTCGTGCTTAGAAAGTGATTGTCTAAAATGAGCATAAATCCTAATCAACATAGAGTAGTGATTTCCAGGAGTGGGTGCTAGACCAACATTAGCATCGTTCTCAGGCATCTTCCACTCCTGCTCCCTTACCACTCCCCGCCCCGGACCTACTGAATCAGCCACTCTGGGGTGGGGCTGGCAGCCTGAACTTCAACAAGTCCTCCAGGGATCCTGATGTACACTCATCCACTCCAGAGCAGGGGCTCTTGACTTCTGTCTGTAAAGGACCAGATAATTTGTTTTAGGCTTTATGGGCCATATGGTTTCTGTTGCCATGATTCAACTCTGCCATTGCAATGCCAAAGCAACTATATACAGTATATAAATGATGGGCATTGTTGTGTTCTAATAAAATTTTACAAAAACAGTTGGTGGGCCAGTTTTGGCAAACTGCTGGTCTAATCTAGGGGAATAAGCAAGGGCTTTGGGGGCAAGCTAGAACTTGGCTCCCTTGGCTAAAATTGTCACTTCTCTGAGCCTATTGATGTGGTATGTTGGTAGATGTTTAACACCAGCTCTTTGGAGAAAAAAAACCCAGGTTTGTTTCTATGGTATAAGTACTTTTACCTTAGCTGATTTCAGGCTACCAAGGTGAAGTCACTGAGGAATTGGGGAGAAAGAGACACACTTGGCTCTTTTAAGCCAGTGTGCCAGTCCAGCACAGGATTGCTCTGTGGTCCATGTTTAACATTAGGGCCACAGTGCTTATCTGATAGGCAATGGTTATAATTAAAGGTTGGATTACTCTTGGGTCTTAGTTTTTTATTTTATTTCATTTTTTGAGTTGGAGTCTTACTCTGTCGCCCAGGTTGGAGTGCAGACACACTCACAGCCACCACAGCCTCAACCTGCTGGGCTCAGGAGATCCTTCCACCTCAGCCTTCCAAGTAGCTGGAACTACAGGTGTGTACCACCACACCTGGCTAGTTTTCTTTATTTATTGTAGAGATGAGGTCTCTCCATGTTGCCCAGGCTGGTCTTCAACCCGTGGTCTCAGGCAATCCTCTTGCCTTTGCCTCCCAAAGTGCTGGGATTACAGGCATGAGCCACTGCACCCAGCTAGGTCTTAGGTTTTTTTTTGATTTGTTGTAGAGAGGTCTTGCCAAGTTGCCTGGGTTGGCCTCAAACCTGCAGGCTCAGACAATCCACTCATCTCAGTTTCCCAAAGTGCTGGGATTACAGGCTGAACCACCGAACCCAGTTGGTCTTAGTTTTCTTATAGGGTGATGAGTGCGGATTTTCTTTTTTTTTTGAGTTTGAGTCTTACTCTGTCGCCCAGGCTGGAGTGCAGTGGCATGCTCACGGTCACTGCAGCCTCGACCTGCCTGACTCAGGTGATTCTTCTACCTTGGCCTTCCAGGTAGCTGGAACTACAGGCGCACACCACCATGCATAGCTAATGTTTTGATTTTTTGTAGAGATGAGGTCTCGCCATGTTGCCCAGCTGGTCTCGAACCTATTGGCTCAGGCAGTCCTCTTACGTGTGCCTCCCAAAGTGCTGGGATTACAGGCGTGAGCTACTACACCCAGCTGAGTATAGATTTTAAGCTATGTAATTTTACCCGTGCATATTATGCATACATTTTAAATGATGAACTCTCATCTATTTCTGGAGGGCTCCTAATAATTTTTAAGGTTTTTTTAGGTTTTAAAATCTTAAATTCCAAGAATCATTTAAAATGTAAAAGATAAATTTTACTTCAAGAAATAGCCTTTTCATTCACATGTGAATGGATGTATTTTAATATTGTTTCCGCAAGATTTAGGTAAACTCCAAATCAAAATTAGAGTGCTTATAGGAGGTATGAGTACAGTCTTAAAATCACTGGAATTGGATTAGTTGGCCAGTTGCATATTTACAATTTGGCTTTATCTTTTTGAGTTTTCTACTTTCCCACCTGTCTTTAGGCCCTTGCACAGGGCTAAGGGATTTAATGGAAATCTACTGAATACGGTGACAGACAGATTTTATAACCACATTTACATGAATTAAATAAAAACTCAAAGCCTTCTGAAGAAGCGTTTTTTGAGATCTAAGGATACCAGTCCCAAGTTGTTTGTTACAGTATGTGTTACAGCCAATTCTGAAGGAAAAGATTCCATGACCACCTCTCCAGGCAGGAATATAATCCTTCTGGAGGCCAGAAGATAGATTATATGGTCCCCAGTTATTTTCAGGTTTAAGAATAGGCCTTTTAGTACATGAAAAATGGGATTTGCCTCTGTAAAATTGTCTTATATATATATATTTTTTTTCCTTGTGAGCCAGGGTCTCTCACTCTGTCACCCAGGTTGGAGTGCAGTGGCATGATCATGGCCACCACAGCCTCGACCTGCTGGGCTCAGGGGATCCTCCTGCCTTTCCTTCCTGAGTAGCTGGGACTACAGGCAAGCACCACTATGCCCAGCTAAGTTTTTGATTGTCTGTAGAGACATGTTCTCACTATGTTGCCCAGGCTGGTCTCAAAGTCCTGGGCTCAAGTGATCCTTCCACCTCAACCTCCCGAAGTGCTGGGATTATAGGTGGGAGCCACTGCACCAGGCCCAAAGCTGTCTTTAATTTGTAAATGCATATTCATTGCTTTCTCTTTTTTGTGCAGCCATATAAATAAAAGAACTACCTACTTGGACCCAAGACTGGCATTTACTGTGGATGATAATCCAACAAAGCCAACCACCCGACAGAGATATGATGGCAGCACTACCGCCATGGAAATTCTCCAGGGCCGGGATTTCACTGGCAAAGTGGTTGTGGTTACTGGAGCTAATTCAGGAATAGGTAGGCTGTTAACTTATTTATTTATTTATTGTGACTAGTATAATAAAATGCACTTAAATCTGACTATAATGGAGTTTTGCATAGTGTTTCCCTAATTTAAAAATGAATTTTAGCCTTTTTAGCTATCGTTTCATTAAAATCATGACCTGTTTTTAAATCCCAGTGTTACTGTGGAAGGCTATGCAAGGGCTGAACTTGAAGTCTCTGAAAGCTGAACACTCAGCAAAAGATTATGGCTATTTTGGTATTCAGGGATAAGAGACAACAGCCTCCGTCAAAGAGCTTTTGACCTGGTCTGTGTGGTTTACGGACATATTCCAATTACCTGGGTTATTCAAACCAAAATTGATTGGTAATAGAATATGGGGAACAACAAGGTATTATGACTTGGAACAAAGGATACTGCAGGTTTCAATTGGTCACTGAGCATATCATTTTCTTTTGGGAACAGGATCTTATTTCTTTATAAAATTGGAGAATTAGTTCCTGTCTTAACCTCTAAATTAACCCTCTTAATTGCCAGTGTGTAACCACAGTGACCATCATGAGGTAGATGGCTCCAGAGGGTGTCCTTTCTTCAGTTTTATGGACTGTTAAAGAGACAGGAGCAAAGGTGCTTAAGCCATAACTCTTCATATGATTTTATTATTATTTTGCTTTGGTCCATTTACATCAATATCTGAACCAGTAAGAATCAACTGCTTTGAGTAAGAATATGCACCTTTAGATTTATTTACAGATAGAAACAACTGAATGGTGTTTGGCTGTCTTCTGTCAGGCTCTCTCTGTCCCCTTGATCCCCCTCAGCCCCCACAAGGCTCTCTAGTTTGGCCTCCTCTCTTATAAGCTTTTATCACCTCTACTTTCTCTCTTTCTTAATTTTGAATGACTTCTTGAGCCTCCGGAAATATTCTCTAGCATCATCAAAGCAAGCATAGGAGATAAAAATACATTGGTAACGGATTAATTTTTGTGTAGTACAGGGTCTGAAATACCATCTAAGAGCAAGATTTTTGACTCTACTTGCCTGTTATTAAGGTAAAGAAACAGAAACAAATGGAAATTTTTTTATTTTTTTATGTTTTTACTGGAAAGGAGTTTATTTAAAATCAGCTCTTTGCACCTTATCCTGGGCTTAGACTATGTTCAATCCAATTGTCTGAATTTCTGCATTGGTGTAATCATTGATGTCAAAACTAATGACGTGATAGTAAAAATAATGGCTAGATGCTTATTCCAAGAAGCTATATATTGTGCTGATTGTATTGACTATTGTTATGGTGAGCATGTAGACCACTGCAGTTGTAGAATAATTAAGAAAAAAATAAGAATTTAAGGACTTAAGAAAAAAAAATATTTTTTGAGTTGGAGTCTTATTCTGTTGCTCAGGCTATAGTGCAGTGGCATGCTCACGGCCACCGCACCCTCTACCTGCTGGGCTCAGGTGATCCTTCCGCCTCAGCCTTCCAAGTAGCTGGAACTATAGGCACATGCCACAATACCTGGTTAATTTTTTTTTTTTTTTTTGTCGAGATGAGGTCTTGCCAAGTTGTGCAGGCTGGTCTCAAACCTGTGGGCTCAGGCAATTCGTTCACCTTGACCTTTCAAAGTGGCTGGGATTATAGGCATGAGCCAGTGTGTCCGGCAAAAAATATTTTTTAATTTAATATTTAGTTAGTCCGGGCTTGGTGGCTTAGCCTGTAATCCCAGCACTTTGGGAGGCCGAGGTGGGTGGATTGCTTGAGCCCATGGGTTCAAGACCAGCCTGGGCAACTTGGTGAGATCATCTCTACAATAAATAAATAATTAGCCAGTCATGGTAACGCACACCTGTAGTTCCAGCTACTTGGAAGGCTGAGGCAGAAGGATCATCAGAGCCCAGCAGGTCGATGCTAGGGTGGCCATGAGTGTGCCACTACACTCCAGCCTGGGTGACAGAGTGAGACTCCAACTAAAAAAAAAATTCAGTTAACCAGCAAATTAACTAAACTAAAAGATCTTATTCTCCTAATCTTCTATCTGGACTGCTTTTTAAAATTTATTGTTACTCATTTATTTATTTATTGGCCAGACACGGTGGTTCAAGCCTGTAATCTCAGTACTTTGGGAGGCCGAGGTGAGAGGATTGCCTGAGCTCAGGGTCTTGAGACCAGCCTGGGCAACTTGGCGAGACCTCATCTCTACAATAAGTCCAAAATAAGCCGGGCGTGGTAGCATGTAATTCCAGCTACTTGGAAGGCTGAGGCAGAAGGATCTCCTGAGTCCAGCAGGTCTAGGCTGTGGTGGGCATGAGCATGCCACTGCACTCCAGCCTAGGTGACAGAGTGAGACCCTGACTCAAAAAAAGGAAAAAAAAATTTTAAAGAGATAAAAAAGTCTTATTCTGTCACCCCGGCTGAAGTGCAGTGGCATGATCATAGCTCATAGCTCACTGCAGCCTCAAACTCCTCTGCTTAAAGCTCTTCTCCTGCCTTGGCCTCCTGTGTACTGCAGGTATGTACCACCATGCCTGGCTAACTTTTTATTTTTTGTAGCGATATCATCTCACTATGCTGGTCTTGAACTTGTGGCCTCAAGTGATCCTCTCACCTCAGCCTCCCTAAGTACAGAATTACAGGCATGAGCCACTCTGCCAGGCTTGGTTTTTCCTTAATTAGTAAGATATGTGACAACTGATTATTTTCTGTGTTAAGCATTCAGACTTCTCTGTCTGACATTTGATAGCAGACCTTTGAATATGGCTAATGCTTTTTCAAAGACATGGAACACCAGGCCTATGACATTGTAATTTAGGACTAATAGTGTTGGTTCAGAATATTAAAAGGGCTATGTCTAGTTGGATATTTAATCATGATGGAAGGAGAGAAGGAGACACTGAAGCATTGAGACTAAATTTGTGGTTGATCAGAATGGCCCTCACATCTCTTGGAGTGAAGCCGAAAACTCTTTGTGCCTCTTCTGAGCACCAGCTTCCCCCTAAGGCTCTTCCTTTCTGATGGCCATCATTCATTTTGCAGACACTGCAGGAGTGTCTGTGGTCCGGTTGGATGTTGTGGCAAGTTGTAGCGCTCAAGTCGGCACAGATGTCATGGAAAGTCTCAGGGAGCCTTTCCTATTCAAGCATTCACAGCTCTGTCCCCAGTTCTCACCTTCCCTCAGAAATTGTCTTTCACGCTGCCCCTCCCCTACTCCCCTCCACTCTTGGGAAGTGCAAGTCTAGGTGAGTGCTGAAGATTTTTATTCTGAATTTTTGAAATCATATCGTACTGCAAATTCCAGGCAATCATACACTCACAAATCACTTTCACTCTGCAGCAGTGGTATCAGGCTTAAAGAAAGGAAGTGACTGAAGATAGGCACATGGTTTTGCTAAGTTAGCTTTTGTGTCCTGCATGGCTGCCTTAGAAAGTGTCCTTACCCAAGTAGGCTGTGGCTTCTAGATAAAGTCCTTCCTGCTACTGAGCTATGAAACATGCCAATTTATAAATTGCTATCGCTACTTTAGTTCTGCCCATTTCAAATGAAATAGCTGAATGCAGAATGAGTGAATTGGTCGCCTTTACTTCCAGGACTTCTGGAGCATTCAAGAATCATCTCCTGTCAAAGCTTTGATGGTGTTGGTGTTCTCTTTTCTTTGGTCACTCAAGGGAGCCCATTTTCTATGTTGAATCTTTAATCTTGTGAATGTCTGTTCTCATTTAAGCAGAGTGGGTTGGAACAAAACACAGCAGTATTTATTTTGATTTTGTTGTTTTGTTTTCTTTTTGAGTCAGAGTCTCACTCTGTTGCCCAGGCTGGAGTGTGGTGGCACGAACACAGCTCACCTCCTGGACTCAGGTGATCCTTCTGCCTCAGCCTCCTGAGTAGCTGAGACAGCAGGCACATGCCACTATGCCTGGCTAATTTTTTTTTTTTTTTGTAGAGACAGGGTCTCGCTATGTTGTCTAGGCTTGTTTTGAACTCCTGGCTCAAGCAGTTCTCTCACTTTGGCCTCCCAAAGTGCTGGGAATACAGGCATGAGCCACTGCACCTGGCCAACAGTATTTATTTTGAAAGTAGTGACTTCACAATAAAAACATAGATACCTAATTTGCCTTACAAAGGCTGATTACAAATCTGATATTTCCAGTAATTTAAAAAAAATTCCCCACAAGGCAGTGCTCTGTTGGAATTGTAGTTGGTGAGAATTTTTCTGATGTGGAAAGGGACATTTCTTCCTTGACAGACTTCAAGGTTGCACTAGGCCCCTGCTGCCTTTGAAGTGGCCTCTAAGCAGATTCTATCTTGTCATCATCTCTTCCCCTCAGCTGGAAGTGACATGGAGCTAGATTTTGAATTTTGACAAAATCAGGTTGATTCTGCATGACAAAAGTAAGATTCGGAGGAAAAGTCAGAATAAAACATCATGGGCTCCTGAATTCCCTGTTTTTACAGTTAGGGTTTTAAGGCAGGTATCTCCACTGTTGCCTGGATTCGGTTGCCTAGATGGGGGATGGGCAAACCCTGGCCCCTGGGTGACATCTGAACTGCTGTCTGATATTGTAAGTAAAATTTTATTGGAACACAGCCACACCCATTTATTCCCATATTGTCCTATAAGAGGGAACTACTGTATGTTTTTATCCAGTTATTGCAAAATTACACAGCTATTTATTTGCATGTTATCAGCAGAGTTGAGTAATTACAGCAGAGACCATATGGCTGGCAAAGCCTAAAATATTTACTATCTGGTCCTTTCCAGAAAAAGTTTGCTGATTCTTGCATTAGATGATCTAGTCCCTTTCAAAATAAGTTTCCCCCAACATTTTCTAAATTAGCCACAATCTAGATGAAATTTAGATAAATTTGGATGCCCCAGCCAAAGGAAGATTGTGGTTTGTAACTGTTCCTCCACAATATCCTGCAACCCTCGACTCAACTCTGTTTCCTTTTTTTTTTTTTGGTAGGGAGCTTCAAGGATTAGGATGTTGCCTCCTCAGAAACTAACACTTTTCTCTCCT